TTTTTTTTTCTTTTTTTTTTTTTTTTTTTGGGTAAAGGTTAAGTTCCACATTAAGATATTGAAGATGAAAGGTGTTGGAAAAAAACCTTCAAATGTACAAAGCTGTTTCTTTTTCTTGGCAATTAAAAATAGATAACCATTTAAACCAAATACACATTAAGTTAGTGTTATTTCCTTACTATACAACTGATATTATAAGGAACAGCTCCATTCAGTTAAAACCAAATGAATACCATCAACTTTTCCTGGCTTATTTTTCTGAACAGAATTAGTACATAAACATATAATTTTGTTATCCTTTTTTAAATGTTAGAAAAATTATACCATAGTTCACATGAAGCCCTTTAAAAATCTGATGTCACAGATTGCAGCCATTAAAGGTAAAAGATGACGGCAGTCTTCACAGGAAGATCCTCTTGAAAGAGGGATTCAATACTAAGCAGGTTACGTAAACATAAGAAACCACCACAATTTTTAGTACCAGAACTGTTGCCAGCTTGCATGAAGTTCACCTATCACATTTTAAAATGGTTTGAATTTCCACATAGATATCATGGCACAGAATGCTAAATTTAATGATCGGGTAAGTGATGGTAGTTAAAAATTATAGTCCTAAAATATGGGACCTAGTATATTGCTTTATTTAGAGTGTGACTATAAAAGAGTATTTTAAAACATAAATACCAAACTTTTATTTCGTCAGATTCAGTTCCTTTGCTAGATCCTTAAGCCAGTAATGCTGCTGTGCAAATTCATACTTTGGAATTTCTGAATTAGTCATAAAAATCAGTCTTATTATTCTAAATAAGTTTTCCGTTCTAAGTCAACTAAATTCTAAAAAGGAAAAAATTCATCACCATTAGGTATATTTTAAAAGTGAATGTATATTTAAACACGGATTTGAAAACTGGAGTTTTAAAAATGTTTTGCAGAAAAACTATCATTGGAATTAGTGGGAAGCCTTAACCTAGTTATTTTTGAGGCTATAACAGTCATTTAGTGTTTGTGGTCAGATTTGTCTTACAGTCATACCTTTAACTCTTAAAATCTCAAAAAATAGATAAGTGAGAAGCTTTGAGTGCCAGCAAAGCCATTTTGCCACTCCATAAATCAACATTAAACATTCCATCCCTCTCTCTGTAAAACTTTCACATTTTTCTTTTCTCATATTTCTTTTAAATACATTTCCTCTCTGTTAGTCTATATGTAATAAGAGCAAAAGTGCATTCAAGTCCCTGATCTAGTGATATTTTACATTTGCGGCACCCATCACCAAAAGTACATATTTAGCAATATCTCACAATACCTATTTAAATACTGGGACTTTTATCATGCTATTCTAAAGATTAAAGGATTTCCTCTTGGATTGTACAATTTCAATTATATATTGCCTTAAAAAAAAAATCAATGCAACCTTACATAAGATTAACTCACCTCCTAGTTAACTTCATTATTCTAAACTGAGCTTTTCAGAAAATGATTAAAGTGAGAAAGTTCTACTTTCCAGTTCTATGAGTTTGAATATTAGCATAGTGCACTATACTTTCAAATCCCATTGCTGTCATCTAACATTTAACCAAGTTCTAGATGTTGTTTATATTCCTTTTTGCTTCTAAAAACCTTGCTCCTTTCCATGCAAGGGAAGCCTATATTAAAACTGCATATTAACTTCAACTTAGAAAAAACTTTTGAGAATAATAAATGCAAGCAATTTAAAAAATGGAATGGAATCATTTGGTCCCATGAAGTTCCTTGATTTTTTATTTTATTACGGTATAACTGTTCATATCTCCCACATTTTGTCTATAATGATAAATAATTTTCTCTTAACAATTCTGAATTTGGGGAATAAAAGGAAGTGACTTATGAATAGTAGCCTTGTTGCTTTTCATTGTCATGCTATTACTCACACTGTCATCAATATTTTAGCTGTACTTTCTTTGGACCCTGAAATAAGGTGGAAAATTCATCATTGGTACTTCAGAGTTTAACGCTTGGAACAAAAAAAAGTGGTTTTGTGCAACCATATCTGGAATTCCAGTTTACCATGAAAACATGCAGGGTGAAGAAGATTTTCTTCTTTTGGTTCCTGTATGTAAGTGAGGAAGTCTACGTAAGTTCTTTACATTCTGGCAGGTTTGCACATATAAAATAGGCTACTTGGATTATAAATTTTCTCCTGGCTGGTACTGTGGCTCGGTAGCAGTGAAGTAGTCTTCCAGGAAGGACTGGATATACTCAAATGTTGGTCTTTCATCAGGGTCCTTCTTCCAGCAAAGATTCATCAATTCATGGAGGGATTCTGGACAGCCTTGAGGGCAAGGCATCCTATATCCTCGCTCCACCTGCTCCAGCACTTCCCGGTTCACCATTCCTAACACACAAGGTCCAAACATTAAAAACCAATGACGCCAAACACCACTAGCATACAATGAACCTACTGTGTTAATCATTTCATAATATAAATGCGGATCAAACCATTATGCTGTATGCCTTAAATTTATATAGTGCTGTATGTCAATCATTTCTCAATGAAACTAAGGGGAAAGGACAGAACAAATCCTCAGCCCCAAACTGATTCAAAGTATAGTGAGTTTACTTACTGAAATGATTATTTTAACAAAGAAATAAATTTTCAATGTCAAAGTATATCAAGAAGAGCTTAGAAAATGCTAGACTGTTTTAGAATGTCTAATTTTCTTCATTTCACCTAAAACCTTATTTTCAACACTAAGGTCTTCAAAAGCCAACCCCTAATTGATTAATGAAAATTTAGGGTGCTACTTTGAGGTTTTGATATTAAGCTATTAATTATCAAACTTGGGCTAATGAGGAACAGTGAGTGGCAAGGTAGTGTTTAAAAGAACTTCCAGATAGAAATTCAGAAGAAAGCATTCTAATCCTGGTTTTGCCAAATATACTCACTATGTAGCTTTATATCAAGTCACTTTCCTGAAACAGTTTCCTCATCTAATATCACCTGTTTGACTTTCTTCAAGTTATTACACAGTTCCCTTCTTGTATTGCTTTATAGTCCCCCTACCTGCATCCACAGCTCACCCTGTGTTACCACAACTTGTAAGCGAGGCCTTGGGAGAGGGGGGTTGTGGGTATGGGCAAGATGACCCAGAATATTTAAGGTATGTTTATTACCTGAGAGAACAGCAGAGATAAGTGGCCCTTTCCGAAAATGCCCTAAGGGGAAAGCTGAGGTAAGGGGCACACCTCATGTGCTTGCCCTGTTCTCAAGGATTGTGACTCTCGCAGGTTGCTGTCCATCCAATGCCAAAATAAAAAGAGGAAGGGAGGGAGGGAAGAAAAGAGAACGAGACAAAAGAAGAGAAGAAAAGGCCTTTGCCCTTACATTTCTGGTCCTATAAACTCCAACTGAAGTCACTAATGGGATAAGCAAGAGCTAATAAAATGCAAGCTTACCTGGATATGGCACTCTGCCCTTTGTTACCAATTCTGTCTGTAGGATTCCAAATGACCACACATCAGACTTTATTGTAAATCGACCATATAGTGCAGCCTCAGGAGCTGTCCATTTGATTGGAAATTTTGCACCTAAAACAATATTGACAATCTTGCTTAAGTAAATTGTTTTTAAAAAATCTATTTGTGTAAATAATGGCATAAGGTAGGCAAATTTTCTGTCAATATCCTTACTGTATATGTCATCAGTGTTAAATTCTTCAAAAAGTGAAAGATACATGGGAAACTTTTTTTTATAAATTTAAAACGTGGAATGTAATGAACAAAATAAACTGACAGACAAAGTGGATCCAAAGACATTGCAACAGACCGCTGATGGGGGGTGAGGTGGAATTAACCAAAGAACTTATATGCATAACCCATGGACAGACAATAGTTCGGTGAAGGCCTAGGGAGGGGCAGGAGTGGGATGGAGGGAGGTCAATGAGGGGAAAAGGGGGACATCTGTAATATTTTCAACAATAAAGATAAATTAAACAACAACAACAAAATGTGTATTATAGCCCTGATCAGTGTGGCTCAGTTGGTTGGAACATCGTCCCATACACTGAAAGGTCATGGGTTCGATTTCCAGTCAGGGCACATATCCAGGTAGAGGGTTTGCGTATGGGAGGCAGTTGACTGATGTTTCTCTCTCACATCAATTTCTTTCCCTCTCTTTCTTTCCCTCCCTCTACCTTCCTCTCTCTGGAATCAATGAAAACACATCCTCAGATGAAGATTAAACAAGAACATATGTATTATAGGACCTGTAACTTTTAAGTAAGTCTATCACCTAAGTAGCTATAGCTAGCCATTGGCTGAAGAAGGCATATTCTGTTGGGTTCTAATGTCTACTGGTTTTCTACCATAAGCTCTTTTTCATTTTATGATATCTCTCTGGAAAATTTTTTTGTACTATCATTCTTAAAAGCCTATATTAATGTATTCAAATACTTACTGTATGTTTATGCACAAGGCATTATGATAATTGTTATGAGAGAGAAAAACATAGCCTTTGTGCAGCTTATATACTTACAGTGGTCACTACAGGTGTCTTACATACTTCCGGTTATTTCTATATGTATGTATATAGTGTTGTAAGATAATTCTTTAGATGTTCAAACAGAAGATCAATTTACACTAGTACAATCACAGAAGGTTTTATCAGAAAGGGGCCAAATGCCCTGGCTGGTGTGGCTCAATGGTTAGAGTGCCAGCCCAGGCACCAAAGGGTCACGGGTTTGATTCCCAGTCAAGGGCACATACCTGGGTTGCAGGTTCAATCCCCAGCCCTGGTCGGGGCTCATGCTAGAGGCAACCAATCGATGTATCTCTCACGTGGATTTTAAAAAAAATTATTTATTTCTATTTTTAAAAATATCTTTATTGATTTCAGAGAGAGAAAGGGAGAGGGGAAAGGGGAGAGGGAGAGAGAGATAGAAACATCAATGATGAGAGCGAGTCACTGATCGGCTGCCTCCTGCACGCCCCCTACTGGGGATCTAGCCCGCAACCCAGACATGTGCCCTGACCAGGAATCAAACCATGACCTCTTGGTTCATAGGTTGATGCTCAACCGCTGAGCCACACTGGCCGGGCTCACATGAATGTTTCTCTCCCCCCCATCCATCCATCCCTCCCTCCCTCCCTTCCAATCTTCTAAAACTCAATGGAAAAAAATATCCTTGGGTGAGGATTAACAAACAAATTTAGTAACAATGATTTTACCTTGTCTTGCGGTATATTCATTGTCTTCAATTAACCTTGCTAAGCCAAAATCTGCTATTTTGCAAACAAGATTTTCCCCTACAAGAATATTAGCAGCCCGAAGATCTCGGTGAATATAGTTCATTCTTTCAATATATGCCATGCCATCGGCAATCTTGGAAAGAAGAAAAAAAAAGACACATGACACAAAGTGAAGAAGGGACAAAACAATTTTGGTTAATGTTAAGTCGGATCACTGAAAAATCATGTATCTAGAAAGGAGATGATGGTAATAGGGCATAATCTTTCAGATAACAGGAAAAATAGAAAACACTATAATTGAGAAGAAAGAAGATAGAGAGGGAGAATCAGGAGTGGGAGAGGAGGGAAAGGGAAGGAGGACAGGAGAGGAGGAAGGGAAGGAGAAACAAGAGATGTCTGTGGCCCACAAAGCCTAAAACATTTATATGGCCCTTTACAAAAACAGTTTGCCAACCTCCATTGTAGAATGTCTATGAGCCTGGAACTCAGGAGTGTGGATTAAGCTTGGCATATCCTACAGTCTCATAAGACAGTTTCTTACTATAAAGTCTCTCTAAGCTTCATCATATACTTGAGATTTCCAAAAGTACTATTTCCTTTGGAAAAGCAATCATTCACTGTCTTAAAACTTATCTGTTAAAATATAAACACATATAGCCCTGGCCGAGTGACTCAACTGGTTGGAGCATTGTCCCATACACCAAAAGGTTTCGTGTTTGATCTCCGGTTGGGGCGCGTATGGGAGGCAACCGTTAATGTTTCTCTCTCACATCAATGTTTCTCTCTCTCTCAAATCAATAAAAAAAACCCACATCTTTGGGTGAGGATTAAAAAATACACACAGATTTTATATTTGTGGATGCATTATTTCTGAAAGGCCATATGATTCAGGACAGAAGTGTAAGGGTATTATATACCTCGTCTAATGCTACCTGAATTTTAGATACCTCTGGTCTTCAGATACTACATTATCTATAACTACATTATCTAGAACAAGGAAAATCAGACTGGATTATCTCTTCCAGTTCTAAAATTCCATGATTTCATTATAAAAACAATAGTACTCTAAAATTATTTTACATTTTTATGCACACTTTCAAATCAAGTTGATGATACATTATAGATATACAAGTACCTGAGCAGCCATATCAACCAATTGTGGGAGCTTCAAATACTTTCCATCTCCCTCCTTCAGGAAATCTAATAAGCTACCTATAAGAGAGAGCAAAACATTCATGGAAAATAAGCAAACAAATCACATCACAATACAAAACTTCAGCATTTCATTCTTTAACATTTTTTTGCAGCTTAGGATTTCTGAATAACTATCTTTAAGACTCTAGAAGAGGTCTCTAAACTGAAATTTTATAAACTTCTCTTGATAACATGTGAAGAAAGGGAAAATGCAATAACCTCATTAGATTATAGGCACTCCTTCCTTGCTTTGATCAAGATCAACAGTTCCGATTTTGATTGAAAAAGTAGTATAGATACTTATATATTTTTAAGTCAATCTGAATCAAGAACTCAGGCAACTAGGAATATCTTGGGGTACTTAAAACTACATCTAGGTGGCTGAGTTGACATGGAAGTGTTAGTCCAACTACTCTCAATTTCATAAGATATGGAACAGCAAAGTATTACGAATAACAGCAGAGACAAAGGCTAGAAAGGAAAAGTCTAGCTGTTATTCCTTTATTACTGGTTACAAATTTACCATGTACCTTAATTTAATCAGGAGAAAATATCAGATAAACCCAAATTAATACACATTTCACAAAACAATGGTACCATTCTCTTAAAAAATAACAATGTTGCCTGGCCGGACGTGGCTCAGCGGTTGAGCGTCAGCCTAGGATCCAGTAAATGGCGGTTCGATTCCCGGTCAGGGCATATGCCTGGGTTGCAGGCTCAATCCCCAGTTTGGGGCCTGCAGGAGGAAGCCAATCAGTGACTCTCTCATCATTGATGTTTCCATCTCTCTCTCCCTCTCCCTTCCTCCTCTCTGAAATCAATAAAGGTGTACTTTTTTAAAAAATGTTATAAAAGACAAGAAAGGATGAGATACTGCTCCAGATTAAGAAAACAAAAAAAAAAAAAAAAAAAAAAATTACAACTAAAAGAAATTCCTGACCATGGACTGGACAATGGATAGGGGAAAAATTGCTGTAATTAAGGACACCATTGGGATGACTGGTGAAATGAGAATATAGACTGGTATGAGATAACAGAATTGTATCCGTGTTATAGTTCCTGAATTTTATCATTATACCGTGGTTATGTAAGACAATGTTCTTGTCTGTAGGAGAAAAACACTGACATACTTAGAAGTAAAGGGAACATAATGTCTGCAAAATACTCTCAAATGGTTCAGAAGAAAATTTTATATTTTATATATTGATGATATATCTAGTTAATAACTGACAAATCTGGCTGAAATATAAACAGGAATTCTTTGTATTATTTTTGCAACTCTTCTATAAGTTTAAAAGTATTTCAAAATGAAAGCAAAATTAAACAAGACAAAGAAGGCCCTTTCTATGTGACAGGATTAAAAAAAAAAAAGGGAAATCCTGACTTAGTCTGATTTATAAAGAACCAAAGTCAAAGAATATCTATATTTCGTCTAGTCTGTCTACTTACTATAAGGAGAACATGTTACTGTGTTTGTCCATTTATCTACCCATTCAAATTATTTACCAAGAGTCTAGTACATGTGAGGCACTGCAAAAGGGTATAGAGGATATAATGATAAGTAAGTCATGGTCTCTTGAAAAGATCTTGATCTAGTATGAAAGCATAGTATATAGATCTATAAAATATACACAAACAAATAAATGCTGTATAGGAGTTATAAATGTTATAAATACTACACTGGAGACACAATGGATATAGTTAATTCTACAGACAAGTCAGAAAGTGCTTCACAGAGAAGATGCATCTTAAAAGAAGAATGGAGCCTGGCTGGGCGTGGCTCAGCGGTTGAGAGTCGAGCTAGGATCCAGGAGATCACGGTTCGATTCCTGGTCAGGGCATATCCCCGGGTTGCAGGCTCGATCCCAAGTCAGGGGTGTGTAGGAGACAGTCGATCAATAACTCTCTCATCATTGATGTTTCTATCTCTCTCTCTCCCTCTCCTTTCCTCTCTCTGAAATCAATAAAGATATATTTAAAATAATAATAATAATAATAATAATAATAATAATAATAATAAAAGAAGAATGGAGGCAAAGGAATTCCAAGAGGGAATAACAAGTACAAAGTCTGTAACACATAGAACAGCACAGTAGGTTCAGGAGACTGAAAACAGTCCTTGCTATGCAAGAGCACAGGGCCCAAAGGTGAGAATGAGACTGCAAAAGGAAAGAGTCAGAACACAGAGTGTACAGAAAGCAGCAGAAGATACAGTTCTTTGATCAATCCACTAAGTAAAACATCCTTCAGTGTAACAATAGATAAGTGCTAAAATAGTGCAAAAGCTGCAGAGCACAGAAATCCAGGATTGGAATTATTATTAATAATTTGTATTATTTTGACAATTCTTCTCTGATCTTTAACTAATCACAAAAATACCCGACCTCCTTCAAATGTTTTTTATATCCTTTATCACAGAATGTTTTGGATCTTAAAAGTGGTCCTTAACCTTTTCTGGTTCATAAGTTATTTTGAGAATCTGATGAAAACTATGAACTCTGTCCAGAAAACATAGATAAATATGCAAAAATTGATACATAATAACTTCAGAGGAAGTTCATGGACCTATGAAGCTCATTCATGACCAGTGAGTAAGTACTCAGTAACAGTGAAATCAATTCAAAGTAATCCTTAAGCTTGTCTCATATACCCCTCTAGCCTTACTTCCAACTAGCTTCTTCTACTACTTCTGTACTTTTCACTAGCTATGGTTCTGATTCTCATCTCCTCAAATCCTCTTAGCTCTGCCCTTTACACATCCATATCCTTCATAACCATAAAAGGTAGGTCAAGATTTGTCTTTTCTACTAAATTTTTCTCAATTTATTCCAGACTATGTAATCTCTTCCTCAATTTCTATTATACTTACTGAAATTCATTATGCTTTGGCCTGTAGCTTTGCTTGTTTATAGTAAACTGTTATTTACTTTTATGCTGAAAATTAACTCTTCAGAGGTTTAGGTCTTTTCTCTTTAAATTGAATCTAAATTATTTGGTTATCTTAATTTCTTTGAAACCTTATAATAAACAGCAGAGTGTCTTATATATCAGAAGCATTCAATACTTTTTGGTTGTTAATTTCTAGAGTAGTCTGACTGTAAAGATTTCAGAGGATATAATGATCACAGCACATTGGAATATTAGTGGAAGGCTTCTAACACCTGATTTAAGTACATTCTGAAGGAAGTACAGTTGATGGACTGGTCAAGAGATAAGGAAACCAAATTCCAGGTGAAGGAAATAACATGAACAAACTCATGGAAACAAGAAGCAGCAAGAAGTCCCATCTGGCCAGAAAAGTGGATTCTGTGGGAGCACTTGAGGCATGAGTTAGGATGTATTATAGAGGGCCAACTGCTAAGTACCGGAATAGCAAGATAGGGAATTAGAGTTTTAAAAACTAAAAGGGACAGTTGTGATCTTACATTCTAAATCTCCCATCTAGAAATAATCCTAACCCAGAAACCTAATACACAGACTTCTACCACGCTCTCCCCAATTAAATAATTCTTGAAATCAATATACAAAGCTAATGGACCATTAGCTTTACCTCCATTATATTCTTGCTATCAATATCTTGATTTAAACTTCCTCTTTGTTGTCTCTTTTTTTCCTTCCCTTTCTAGTTCATCTAATGCACTCTGAAATGGGATATTTGGCAGTAGTTTGCAGGAGAGCTTCCTTCCAAAAAATGCCATGTGCTTTGGGGCTTTAGGTATGTTTTGGCTATCACTTAGTAGACTATGTCAGTTATTTTAACCTTTTGGTTTTTCTATCCCTTTTAAGGGGGGAACATTTCCTATAGCAAACATGTAGCTTATAGTTGACCCTGTCACCACTAGATGGAACTATATTGCTGGCCAGGATGGACTACTGGAGAGGGATGACAAAATAATCAGTGTTAATATGGATGAGTGACTTGTTAAAGAGTAAAAAAATATAGATAAAATTCAAAAGGGTAAAAAGCAAGCCTATTAGCTTATTTTGTGACTGGTTCTTCTTCTACAGCACATTAGGCAAAGGGAAAAAGAGGGAAGAGCAACAACTTTCCCTTGCCTTTATCCTGGCCCTAACCAACTCTGTAACTAAAGATCCCACCTTGGGGTTTAGGGTTTGGGAAAATGGAGACATTTCAGTTGACAGTAGTGAAAAAAGAAATTTTCTAAAAGTCTTGGGTATGAAGATTATGTTTATATTAAAATGAAAAAAATTAATTTCTTTAACTTTACCTAATTTCTTTGCTTTAGTACCAAAGATAAATATCTTTCTGATTGAATTATTTTTAAATTCAACTTTTACAAATACTTTCTTTTTCACTTTCCTAGCTATTCCAGTTCCTTTGGTAACATGGAATAAAGGACTATTTACTTCTAAAATAAATTCAGCCTGTGTATTTTCCTTTTAAACTTTGTACTATCCTTTGGAATAACCAGAGCTAATAATTACATACACAAATGTCAGATTTTTTCTTTTCAAATGTCTACATAAAAATCTTAAACTAGAAAACACTATACAATAAAAATTTGTATGCATAAAAAATTGAAGACTTGTTTTTAAAAAGTTATTAACATGAATATCCTAAGAGATACTAATATACACATACCTTTTGACATAAATTCAGTAACAATGTAAATTGGCTCTTCAGAAACAACAGCATATAGCGGAACAAGTTTATCATGTCGTAATTTTTTCATTATCTGAGCCTCCTGAAGAAAAGCTTCTGGCATCATTGTACCTGGTTTTAGTGTTTTGATTGCTACTTTTGTGGTTCCATTCCATGTTCCTAGAGAAACAACACTTGTACTATTTTATCTATGTTTGAAAAAAATTCATAGCAAACTTCAATGAGCAAGTTACCTCAGATATTTCAACATATCATAAATTGTGGTATTTTGATCTATGGCTAAACAATGGCCAAAAAAACACAAAAGTTCAGGCTTCTTACCCATCCATACTTCACCAAAACATCCTTGTCCTAGTTTAACTTCTAGTCGCAAAGATTCTCGAGGGATTTCCCAAGCATCTTTTGCTAGACCTTGAGTCTGGGGTTTCACAGTTGGACATACAGTTGTTAACTTATGGCATAAGCCATCAGCATGTTCTAAATAAATGAAGAAACTATACTGTAAAATGAGTTACTTACAAAAATTAAGGTACATGTAGTGTATCAAATGTTTTAAAAAGTTTAAATTATAGCAAATAAAAATATAATGTTCATCAGTTTTTAAACAAAAGCACAAACACAAAAAGGGAATTGTATGTAAAAAGTAAAACACACAAGAAATGAAACATTTTGTTAATTACATTTAAAAAGTTATTATTTAATGAACTTGTGTCCCAGCTATTGCGCTCATCCAGCACCTTACAGGGATCTCATATAAATGAGTCTTGGAAAATTCAGCAACTTTCTCAAAGTCACTCAGTTAGTAAGTGATGGAAATAGCATTCAGACCCAGGGTATGGCTGCCTCCAAAGCTCTGCTTTCGACTACTCTGCTTTATTTTTCCAAAAAGAATGCTACCATTAATTGTTATTTCTAATAACCACAAATATAAGAGGCACACCAAAAATCAAGGCAAAACTTCTTTTAGGAAACTGATTTTTAAATAAGGGAGGCACAAAAACAGGGTATTTCAATTCATAATGGCTTGACTTGTGACTTTCTTATTGTAAATAAAGCATGTTCCCTCCCATTCTCAACAAGTAACCATGCAAAACCCATACGCTAACAAGTACAATTACAACCGATGCCACTGCTTGGCAACATGTTTGATTAATGTCAACACTGGAGGTTGACTTGATAGACTCAGTTTACAGTTGTTACTGAAGAAAAAATTACCATGGAAACTTCCCCTCCCCTAGTATTAATCACTTAAACTTTCAGATGCATTCAAGTATCAAACTGACAATGAAAACTTTTGACAGAAGACCTTAATATTAAATACCTTTCTAAGGTCCTTGAAAAACTGAAGAATGCTATAGGTTAATTTTCCAGGAAAAGAAAAATGCATCTTCACTGGATTTATTTTATTTAATAAATAAATCTCAATGCGTTTATACTTTCGGGAAGTCTTATGTAGTCCAGCTCATGAAGAGGAAGGTAAACCAAAGGGACATCTGATACAGCTTTTTATATAAGTTTTTAGCTTTACCTTCTTTTTTAAGAATAATATGTTTTTATTGGTTTTACAGAGAGGAAGGGAGAGGAAGATAGAGGAACATCAATCAACTGCCTCCCGCGCAATCCCTACTAGGGACTGAGCCAGCAACCCAGGCATCTGCTCTGACCAGGAATTAAAACAGTAACCTCTGGAAGCACGGGATAACACTCATCCAATTGAGCCACACCGGCCAGGGATGCTTTACTTCTTTAGTAAGTGTCTCTAAATAAAGTATTTGTTTTTGCCTTTTTATTTATCGTCACAATCTATTTTTGTATTTAGCTGTCATGAAATGGAACTCCAATGTAAACACTATACCAGTAAGATATAAACTCAAAGAATCATAATCTGATTTTTGTACATCATCAAAGAACCCAATTCAGGTGATAAGTATAACCTGTTCCTCATTTTAAAACTAGAATACAGCAGACATCCAGTGAGCACATACTATGTGTAAAGTGGCATGCCAAACCTTAAGGGACGTGAAGATACAGATCCTGTCCTCATAAAATACAACATGAAGAAATAATTTTCACCTTTAAAATATTACATACCTGTGTAGTGTTTAACCAATTTCTGCAGGGTATCAAATTGTGCTCTAGTTGTGATATAGTATCCACCATTGTCAAGTTTCCTAATTTTGTAGTGTTTCACATTGTCACCCTTTACTTCATCCCAATCACGAATAGAGAGGGAATAAGCACCTGGTGGGGCAGGGAGAAATGAAAGAAATGAAAGCTTTTACTATATCTTTCTCAAAATACTGCCTAAAAATATTTTTATACTTATATTAAAATAACAATATTCATACCTTTAGTAGTTTCACTCTCTCTTACTAAGAAAATACCTCGTTGATTCCCAGGATTCAGAAGTAATCTTTCAGCATCTTTTCTCCCCATTTTGCCAAAATACCATCTGGAAAAAAATAGTGTTCCAAGTTAGAATGGTGTAAGGGTAAGAAAAATTATACACATGTGTTAATAAGAATGGAATGAGATAGGGTGGGTGACAAAAACCAGCTATAGAACACAGCTTAAAAATATAGTAAAACACAATAAAAGACCTTTACTGTTAAATAGAACTATTACAAATATTATTCTCAGAATATACTATTCACAGCATTTCCATGTACTGACTATTCAACATGTCTCTTAAACTCGGCCTGGTAATCACAGGAACAGTAAATGGAGAAGGAAAGACACAATGGCAGAAAGAGCCTTTCAAGCAGTGATAGGTGGAAATACTAAGACTATATAGTAAGAAGAATAAAAGTGTTTCTCTGGCAACCATGTGATCATTTGTATTCAGTAAATGCAAGTGTATCACATCCAAATTAGGAACTCTAAATTAGTGTAGGTTTAACTGAATATAGTTTTGTGATTAAAAATGATAGTCTCTGCCCTGGAAGATCTCAGAATAGTGAAGAAAAAGACAAAAGAACAAAACAAAGTAACAAGTGCCAAAGCAGAACAGAGTTATGGAGACAAATTACATATTAATAAAAGCAAACAAACACTGATACAATACCTACTATGTGCAAGGCACTGTGTTAAGTGTTGTGATATAAAAATGAAGCAGCATTTATGGATGCCAGATAAACTTGGTTTGTCCTAAAAGTAATATCATTGAAGGTGAACTTTTTAAAAGTTGCAAGAATGGTAGAAAGAACTCCTATAAATCCTCCACCAGGCTTCCCAACTGCTACCATTCTGCTTTGTATGTTCTCTTTCCCTGTGTGTGCACATTTTTTTCTGAACTTACTGAGAGTAAGTTGCAAACATGTTGAATCATTACCCTAAATCCTTCACTGTGTTCTTTCTAAAAGACAAGGATATTCTCCTACATAAGAAGGAGCAAGCGCCTAAGTCAACAGTTTTTTTAATTTATCTTTATTGTTTAAAATATTACAGATGCCCCCTTTTTCCTCCCATTCACTGCTTCTACCCTGCAACCAGCCCCTGCCCCAGGCCTTCACCACACTATGGTCTGTGTCCATAGGTTAAGCATATACGCATATAAATTCTTTGGTTAATCTCTCCCCGCCAACCCCTAAGTCAATAATACTACCAACTGAGGGTAAATTTTTAAAGTGAAAGAATGCTCATAATACAAAAAAAAGGTTAATATAATTTTTAAGTGAAAAGATAAAGGCATAACAATGCAGTATTATTAATAGAGATTCATTTATAATCTTACTCTAAGCAAGTACTATGGCATTAATTATTAAGTAACATCCCCTATTAATATGATACATTAGCTGTATTAAGACTGATATGTAATTGTGTGTGTGTAAAGTTGTGGCAAAGTAGAATATGCATTAAAACATTTTAAAAATCAAAACAATTAATAAAATATGAAGTAGAGCCATACTCTTCTGCCTGAATGGAATCTGCAGGGGCTACGTAATTGCTAGGGATATAGCCATTCTTTCCTGTAGCAATTGATCTTGCTTCCCACCAGTCTCCTTCCCTGCAACACATAAAACAACAGTTACTACAAGGTAGGCTACTACTTAAAACAGATCTACTGCAGTGTTGTCTTGTATCTGAAGGATACATTTTTTAATTTATGCCTTCATTTGATCAAGAATCAACTCAAAGAATAATATTTAAAAATAGGTTATATGAATTAAGGGAATAAAGCTAAGAAAAAGCACAATTACGTTTCTGCTCCAAACCAAAACAGAAAATATTATACTTTTAGTTAAAGATCACTTTTTTACATAACTCTTTCAACCTAAGAAAATAAACTATACCGAATAAAACAATTTAGAAGGTAAATCTTTCAAATTACTCAGTTTTGATTAAATTTCTAAAAATACTTTATTGAGATATAATTTGCATACCATAAAATTTCCATTTGAGATGTACAATTTAATGGGTTTTAATATATTCACAGAGTTGTGCAACCATACCACAATCAATTTTAGAACATTCTGATTACCCCCAAAAGAAACCCCATACCCGTTAAGAGTCATTCCCTGTCCCCCTTTTCTCACACCCCCACCAATGCCAACCACTGATCTGCTTTGTTTCTATGGATATATCTATTGTGGGCTTTTCACATAAATGCAATCATATAATATGTGGTCTTTTTGACTGGTTTCTTTCATGCAGCAAAATCTTTTCAAGGTTCATCTATATTACATCATACATCAATAGCTCATTCTTTTTTATTTCTTTTAAACAGTGTATAAAATTATGATCTTCCTTTTTAATCATTTTAGGAAAAAAATATTAGGATACCCTAGAACTCCTATAGCCAAAATATTATTAATGGGCAATAACAACAAAAAATTTAATTCTTAGTATACAAAAATATTATCCATAAATATCCAAATAAGACTAAAAGCAATTCAGAACACAAGAACTATATGTAATTTGCAATACATAAGCCTTGACTTTTCCAAAATTAATGTGAAAGGAGCAAATATTATCAGTCTCTAATGAGGAAGACACATATATGGTTTCCATTACTAAAAATTAAATGCATGTTTTGCTTTACCAGAGAAGAACTGAAAACACTGTATCTAAATTGAAATTTTATAAATGCTTGAGGTGCAATTGCTTTCTAGAAACTAAAATGGGAAATCCTTTGGCAATTCAAATATTTATAAATTCATATACTTGATTTGTAGTTTCCCAGTATTGTAAGTATTTTCAGATAAACAAACTGAAAACTTTGTATTTGATCCTGCTGACCGCTCATTGATACATTCAAATATTTACTGAATACCTTTTAAGTGACAGACTTTATAATAGAGTGTGCTGAAAACAGGAGTAAAAAGATAATCCTTACCCTCAAGAAACTCAGTCTAAAGTAGAATTTCTCAACCTCAGCAATATTGCCACTTTGGGCTAGATAATTCTTTGCTGTGGGGGCACATCCTGTGCATTGCAGAATGCCAGGATGCTGTGCAATATCCCTGGCCTCTACCCACTAGTTGACAGTAGTAGCAGCAACCTGAATGTAACAACAAAAATGTCTCCAGACGCTGCCAAATGTGCCCTGGGTGATTTTGCTGCAGGTTGACAACCACTGCTCTAAAAGAATGCTAAGCAAGTGATAACTTATAATTCAAAACTGCAATGGTAGCTATGATTGAGGTTTGCATAGGATGCTATGTGACCGTGTAAGAAAGACACTTAATCCAGCAGGAGGCAGGAACTGGGCCAGGAAGGAGGAAGAATGTCAGGAACGGCTTCCTTGAGAAAGGACACAGGAATACACATTTTGAAGGATGAGTTGGGTTGGCCAGATAAAGGTGGAAAAAATGGATACAAGAAATCACATTCGGTGGGGGGGAAATCATGTGAAGGCATGGAGAAGGTGAGAAACTACAGTATATTCAGGTAACTGCAAGGAATTCAACATGGTTAGGCAGTGGGGTGAGGAAGAAGCTCAACGAATAATGCCTAATATTGTAATTTTTCTTTTATCTTGATGGCAACTGGTAGCTATTAAAATATTTTAAAGCAGAGAGACATGAACATATTTTATGTTCTGGAATAACAACTGGTAGCAAAAAGGAATAAGGATGGAAGGAAACATGACTAGAAGCAAAAAGACCATAAGTATATATTTTAAGAAGTTACAAAGTGGCTGCTATGCTTGCTAATGAAATTATGGAATCTATTTTCCATAACTAGCACTGGATTTTCTATGGTGGGCCACTAAATGACAAAAAGTTTAAGAGTCACATAAGAAAAAGGCAACTTAATTTGGTCAGTTTGGGATTGCAGGGGTTCCTTACCTGGCCCTTTTCCTTTTTTTTTTTTAAAGAGAAACAGATAAGATCTTTAAATCATCTAGTACTTAGACAAATAGGAATATATAATTCTCTTTATAAAGATTTTTTTAAAGTAATGTACTTACTTATATATACTCCCTCACTCTTCATTCTTAAATCTCTACTGTTTATGGCAGAACCACAGCAGCACAATTTGTAGAAGTAATAACTTCTGGCTACATCAGTAGTATTCTGCCACGTGTCTAAAGAAAACAAATGCATTGTCCAACCGGATGGGCAGACCCACACCCCACCACTCTCATCTCTGAATCATCAACTAGTTCAGTGGTTTCAATGTAAAGACTAGTTTCCTGTCAATATTTCTCATTCACAACACTTACGTATTGTTAATTATTTGAAATCTTTCACCCTTCTTAAATGAAAGGTCTTCTGTAGTTCGAGCTTCATAATCATATAAGGCCACAAATATAGTAACACCACCTATTGGAGGAAAAGACAAGGTAAATTATATAGATAAATTGACAGAAGAGAAAAAGCCACTGCCAGCAAAAATGCTTAAGCAAAGTTTTTTCCTGGTCTCCAGAATCTATTTTTAAAATTTAGAGATTTGGGAAGCAGGCTTTTTCGAATTATTAAGATGCTCTCTTAAGACCTTCTATGAAAGTAATTATACTCTACAAATTCTAAAATTCTACAGACCCAGAGAAACAAATTTAATTTTGATTCATAGTAGCAACATCTCTGGCTTAAAAGACAAAGTTTAAATCACTTCTTTGAAAAAGTATTAACAAGTACTATAAACTACTGGTATTGATTGTCTAAATTTCTTATAAACAATGAATGAACATTTTGATCCTTAAAACTAATCTTTAACAGTAATAACTAGGGTTTAGTAAGATAATTTATTATATTTAACATTCAAATATAAAAATGGCATGTTTTTCTTAGCAATTAAATGGTATGGCTGATATGAATTATAAATTCCAAAAATAACGTCATATATACCATTGTGTGCAGATGCTTAAGAGATTAGCACACTTAAACAGCCAAACTATTATCTGCAAACAAAAGAATAAAACAGATTATCTCATTTATCTGGCTTCCAATCATACATTACTACCTTTTTTGACATCTCTATTTAAATGTCTAACAAGCATTGAAAACTTATTAGTTATAAAACAAAGGTGGTGATTTTTCTCCTCTAACCTGTTACCCGAGTCTTTCCTACCTAAGCAAAAGGCATTACTAACCAATCAGGTACTCAAGACAAGCCCATTACCAGACTGTCAGTTCTACCTCTAAAATATATACTTTCTTTTCCATTTCTACTGCTGCCACCCTAATCTAAGTCCCTGTTATCTCTCTTCTGGGACTATTGATAGTAGTAGCCTCCTACCCCATTTTTGTATCTGCTTCCCTACATCCATTCTCCACAAAGTTGCCAGAATGAGTTTCTTTTTCTGTTTTTTAAAAATATATCTTTATTGATTTCAGAGAGAGGAAGGGAGAGGTAAACAGATACATAGAAACATCAATGATGAGAGATTCATTGATTGGCTGCCTCCTGCATGGCCCCCACGGGGGACTGAGCCCACAACCTGGGCTAGGCCCCGACTGGGAATCAAACCCCAATCTCCTGGATCCTAGATCGATGCCCAACCGCATAGCCACCAGAATGAGTTTCTTTAAAAAAGAAATTTAGCCTGGCCGGGCGTGGCTCAGAGGTTGAGCATCGACCTAGGATCCAGGTGATGGAGGTTCAATTCCCGGTCAGGGCACATGCCCGCGTTGCGGGCTAGGCAGCCAATCAATGACTCTCTCATCATTGATGTTTCTATCTCTCCCCCTCTCCTTTCCTCTCTCTGAAATCATTTTAAAAAAATACATATATATTTTTTTAAAAAGGAAATTTAATCATGAAAATCCTTAACTGAAATGTCTTCAAGAGCTTCTTTCTAGCTTTGAACAAAACCCAAACTTCTTACCCATTTATGAGGTCCTGCGTAATCCTGACTCTTTAATCCCAAATCATACAATTCTACCCTCTGTCCATAGGGGCCTCCTTACTATTCCTCAAAAACTGCCAAGTCCACATGCACTTCCTAAATTTTGCATTTGCTATCCTCTCTCCCAGAAAGTTCTTTTCCCAGTTCTGCATATGTTTAGGTCATTCTCATTACTTAAAACTCAGCTCAACTAATTTCTTCTCAAGATGCCTTTCCTTGATCATCTAAAAGGCCTTCACCAATGTTCTGGTTAGTCCTTTCATAGCATTTGAGAACTGCTTTCTCTCGCTTACAACTCACTCTACTCACACAGACACTCCGTATTTATTAATAAATTAATATCGATGAACAAACTATCTCACATAAATAAACTACTTTAGGTAATCATTTTGAATTACTATCTTTCCCAAACATATAATCCTGAAGATAATTTAAATTTTTGCTGATGACGAGAAATATCATCATGGCCATCTATTACTGAAGTATTTAGAGTTAGGGGGTTGGAATTAGACTGTAACTGACTTTTTGAGGTCCATAACTCCCCACATGAACAGTCTAACAGAATTAGTATCTGGCGCCTATTATTGGTCCAGAAGCAAGCAGACTGAAGGAACAAATTTATGTAGTCCAAGCTTGTAGAAGAGAGTCCTCTTTTGTCCCCATTGGTTGTTAGTAAGGACACATGTTACTCAATTTGATGTTAGCAACTGTTTTTGTCAAAAGTCTAAAGATAAAATGGACACTCCAAGGACTGCAGGGGAGAGATCAAAGAAATGTGAGTTGCTGATGACATCAAGGAACCGCTGAATCAAGGAATCCAGGAGCTCATCCTACCTTTTAAGCCAGCTGTGTTTTGTTACTCAAGGGAAAACGAATCCTAATATGGGACCCTTCATAAAAGAGCTCCCTCTCTTTTTAAAGTTTCTGACTACTTTTTTTAGAGCATTTCTGGCTCCATTAGAGATTGTCAAATCTTTTTGCTGTTCTCTGAAGGGGTATTATGATATAAATAATAAACAATAAATGGAGTTCTGGAATAGGACATGAAATCTGGGCTCTCCTGCTTATTATTTGTGACTCTAAAGAAAATCACTTAGCCCGGCCGGGAGTGACTCAGTGGTTGAGCATCGACGGAGAATCCAGGAGATCAGAGTTCGATTCCCGGTCAGGGCACATGCCCGGGCTGCGGGCTGGAGCTGATCAATGACTCTCTCATCATTGATGTTTCTCTCTGTATCTCTCCCTCTCCTTTCCTCTCTCTGAAATCAATAAAGATATATTTTTAAAAAAAAAAAGAAAAGAAAATCATTTAAACTCTGAGCCTCAGAATTTCTCTCTTTTAAATCACTAGTACCTAATAGAAAAACTGTATTATCATCACCAATTTGCCACTTAATTAACATTTATTAAGTAATTACTAATAGTAGATGGCACTTTATAATCCTGACAAATTACAACATTCTTGAGAGGTATGTTTTTTTAAATTTATTTCTCAATTATAGTTGACATATAATAGTACATTAGTTTAAGTGTACAACATAGTGATTAGACATTTATATACCTCATGAAGTTAAGTCTAATATGCATCTGACATCATACATAATTATGACTATATTCCCTATGCTGTACTTTATGTTTTAAATCTTTATATCCCCAGTGACAGCCACACAGTAGGCACCCAATAATTATTTGAAAAATGAATTAATGAAATTCTCAATGGTATAACACAGTACATAATCACTATCAGATTATTTCCAGATCTCCCAGAAAGACATCCATATAAACAATAAAACTTTAATTTTTATGTTAGACTTTAATTTTCACATATTTAACAAGTCTCCCAGTAAGTTATTTTTCTTACAGCAGGCAAACCTTATGCATGTATTGCCCAAGGTCACATTCTCAAACTTACAACAGAACTGTCCATTTAAATCTCACCTGTTAAACCAGCAGGATATGAACTTGGCACCACTGAGAATGAAGAAGATGCTCCTCCAAAAGGTGTCACCCCCGAGGATCCTCCAAATGGTGTCATGGAAAGACTGCTAAAATTAACAGATGTTCCCTTTGCAGAAGATGATGGTGTTGCCGCAGTGTGTTCTGCTCCATAATGGCTTGCACTTGTACTGACAGGTTCTGGAGTGTTTTCTGTTCTATATTTAATTGCTGGACTTTTGTTCTCTTTACTTTTAATGCAGCCCATTATAAAATCTACAAAAGTAATAAGGTAAATACTTTGAGAAGCAGTTAACATAACATAAAGGATACTTTAAAAAAATGCAATTCAAAAGTTAACTTTAAACAAGGCATTTTTCTCCTGCAAAAAGTAACATTAAAAAAACCACAAAAATAAAACCCAGACAAATGAAAATGAAGTCTCTTCTCATCTGCTAAAGCATCATTCCAATTATGTCATTCTCCAGCTCAACCACTTTTAATGGTCCAATGAAAACATGCCACAGTGTATAAGGAAAATCATGGGCTCTGAAGCCAGAGAGACCTAAGTTTGAATCCTGGCTTTCTACTTACTAGCGGAGTGATTTAGGTATGTTGCTTAAACAACCTGGACTTCAGTTACTTGAAAAAGAAGGATAACAGTATCACCTACTTCATAAGGTTTCCTGAGGATTAACTCAAGTTTATCACAAGTTCTAGATAATAGCTGGCACATAATAGGTACTACAAATACTGGTTATACTCCTTCTACTTATACAAGTATGTAATAGAAATATAATCTGAGCCACAATTTAAAATTTTCTAGGAGCCACGTTAAAAAAAGTAAAAAGAAACAGATAAAATTAATTTTAATGTTTTATTTAATCCAATACATCTAAAATATAATTATTTCAGCATATCAATATACACATTTTTAATGAGATTTTTTTTCTTTTTTTTGACTAAATCTTAGAATCTGGTATGTATTTTAAACTTGCAGTACACCTCAATTTGGAACAGGAACATTTCAAGTGCTCAATAGCTGTATGCAGCTAGTGGCTACCATATAGAACAGTGTATATCCACATTTTTCCCCTTCTTTATCGATAGACGCTGCCCCGATGCTTACCAAATTTGACCTCAATCTATCCTTCCAACTTCATCTCCTATTTTTTCCTCATACTTATGCACACAAGAAAAAAAATCATATTTTCCCAATACTTATGTCCTGTGTTTTCCCATTTTTGTGCATTTTTCCATCCTAAAAGTGCCTCCTCTGTCCATAATACTCTCCTCACATCTCTACCTGCTAAAATTTATCCATTCTTTGATGAGCATCACAAATGTTACTTTTCCACTTAAGCTCTCCCATAACTGGTAAAATATAATGTACTTTTGGGAAGATTTTTTAAAAAATTGATTTGAGAGAGACAGAGACAGAAAGACATCAACTGGCTGCTTCCCATACTTGCCCAGACTGGGGATTGAACCTACAACCTGAGTACATGCCCTGACAATCGAAACCACCACCCTCATTGTACAGTATGATGCTCCAACCAACTGAACCACATTGGCCAGGGTGTGGGAAGATTTTTGTATGAACTCTCACCTTATTTCTTTTTCTTTGGGCTGTGGCCTAATACTACCCTGCCCCCAAATTACTGGCAATACATTTCTTAAAAGAATTACTCATCTCTTACACACTATACAGCCTACCAACGTGACATGCATATAGTAGTAGGTTTACTCATATCACAAAATTTGCAATTTTTTTTACTTCCTGAAGAGGCACTAGTGGAGATTTCATTAACTCACTTTTAAAAGTCATTCTTATTTTACAATTTTTCTTATATGGCATTCAAAACGAAGTAGGTGAGTGATGACTGCCTCCTAAATTCTGAAAGACAACCTTAGCTGTACAACATTAATTTAAAAGGTAGCTATAAATATTAAAATAGAAACAGTCTCAGAATCTGAGTTGGAAGGTTTTTAGCTCACTAACTTAATGGGTATATTCTGAGGATGTGAAAGTTAAGCACAGCATTGAAACATGACTGGCACTGGAAATCTAAATATCTACTGAAAACACTATGAGAGAATTATAAGCTAAACATATAAAGGGAAATGCTTCTATAAATGTTATTAGAAACAAAAAGTAATTCATTTAATAACCTATATTGGAAAAGTCTATTAAAGCATAATGTAAAAGTAGAAACCTTAGGGAAAAAATACTATTTAATAGACATACAATTATTTAACTTCTGTGTGGGAAGCTGGCGGGGGGCGGGGAGACACAAACACTCTTAAGTAAAGCTAAAGATATGAGAAACAGGGCAACTATCTTTGTACTTTCTCGTGCTCTTACTTGTTCTCTCAACACACACACAAACACATATATGTATATGTATATACATATATATATATGAAAACTGGTTGACATTCTTAATATAGACAACTCTTCTTACACATAAAAAAAAAAAGATAACTCCTCAGAAAAATAGGAAAGCCTATCAAGAGGCAATTCACAAATGAAATACAAAAAGCCAGTTAGCATATGAAGATATGGCCAACCTTCAAGTTTTCTAATAAATGCAGACTTTAAAATTAAGGTACCAGATTGACAACTTTTGACTCAATACTCAAAGTTTGAAGGGTGAATTTTAAACAACAATCAATATGTATCTACAAAACATGTTAAGTGTAAAAATGTTTAAAAGCCCATACAAAGAATTTTCAAAATTACCTATATGCAAAGTCTAATTATTAACAGAACATTACCAACAATTACATAAATTAGCCTTTGAAAGAATAGCAATTGTATGGAGGAAAAAATTATGAAAACCAGTATTTTTTGATAACAGAACTAAAATACATCAATTTATAACAGAGGTTACTATAATTATTCACCCAACCCACATTTCCATTCCCTCCTCCTTTTCACCTTTTTGTCCACTCAAGATCCTTGCTTAGGCCTTTCTCTCTGCAAGACATCATTCCTAACTTCTCTTCCTTCATAAGTCACACTTCTTTTTTTCTGACCCTATCAGTTTTCCATTACTACTCTTACTCTGTCCTCTAGCCTCTTTTCCCTAATCTAGAGTTTTTAGTCTAACTTTTCACATCCACCCACTTACCCTTTCTAATAGCTCCAGGATAGGCCATCATTTTCAGTCCAGTTTCACTAGCACCCCAATATCAACACACAGAAGCCATCACTGTTGCCTATGTCCTTTAAAAACATTTTATAAATGTAGAACGTAATTTACATTTTAAAGTAAACTTCAGGTGCAGTGAGTTAAATAGATTTTAATGGATTGTCTTAGAAATGTAACCTCATTTAAGACATTTATATGGGAAAGTTCCAATCTACTACACACACACACACACACACACAAAATAATATACATTTATTAGGCACTATAAAGGGAGCGGGATCACAAGAAATGATTCCTTTTCTTTAAATAAGGTTAGAAATAAGTACAGGAAACAAATACAGTATTGCAAAATGTGGAAAATGCTAGAGAAAAAAAGCCAAAATGGAGGTATGCACAGAACACCATGGGAATACAACAGAAGTTACTGGCTCTGCCTTGAGTGCTTGGGAAAGAAATTTTGCAAAAAAAGTGGCATCTTAGCTAGGTCTTGAAAACATGGAGATTTAGGGAAGAGGAAATAGGATATTCCAGGAAGAATGAAAAGTATGCAGAATGGCTCTCAGATACTTAAAAAAGCATGCTGTTTGGGGGAACAGAAAATTTCTCTGTGACAGGAGTATAAGGGGGTGTTTTTGAGAATGGTGGGACAAAGGCTACAGGGAGAGGACAATTTCCACATCAAGAGGATTGTTTGCTGTGCAATAACTTTTAGAACTCATCCAGATAGCACTAGGCAGTTAAGATTTTTTTTAAAGGTAAATAGCATAAGATACAAGCTTTAGAATAACTATGGCAGAAGTATAAATTATATACTGGGAAAAAAGAAATAATGGTAGCAGTTAAGTTATAAAACTACCGCAATGACCTATGTGGGAAAGGAAAAAAGTAGGAACACTGTGGGGCCAAAGATAAGGAGGAAATGAGAAGTATATAATAAGTAGAATAACCAAGTTTAGATGATCAGTTGGATATGGGTAGAACAGATATGAAGAATAAAAAGTATTTAATCACTCTTCAGTCTTTTTTTTTAATCCTTACCAACGGATAGTTTTGCATTGCTTTTCAGACAGTGTGGAAGGGGGAGGGAGAGAGAAACATCGATGTGAGAGAGACACACTGACTGGTTGCCCCCTGCACGTGTCCCGACCAGGGCCAGGGATCGAGCCTGCAACCAAGGTAGACGCCCTTGGCCCAAATCGAACCTGGGACCCTTCAGTCTGCAGGCCAATGCTCTAACCACTGAGCCAAACCGGCTAGAGCACTCCTCAGCATTTTATTGAAAACTTTAAAAATAGTTACTGTGTATGTTAAGGGCAAGATAACCCCAAAGTTTCTAGTTTGAAGTGAAAGGGAAGAAACACCATAACTGAGGAAGAGAGAGAAACAGGTTTTTCTGGACCAATGAGTTCAGTTTCAGATGGTAGTTTTAGATGCCCATGGGGCATCTTGTTGAGAAGTCCAGTAAGGCACTGATAATAAGTCTAAAGCTCAAAAAAGGTACAAACCAGAGGAAGATTTAACAAAAATATTTTCACAGCTTACCCACATCTTTTGTAGATAATAAAACTCACCCAAGGTACAGATTCAGAGGTGTGTGAACCTGTAGGACAAACCTACATATAAAGAATAGACAGGCAAAGAAATTAGGACATAGGAATTTGAGTTGGGAGTTTTGTAAATATAAAAACATGGCTGGAAAAGATAATCATCAATTTAAAGACAGTGGAATGGGTTGGGGAAGAGGACCAACTGTATCTGTGGCATCTTTTCTTTTTTTTAAATATATCTTTATTGATTTCAGAGAGAGGAAAAGAGAGGGAGAGAGAGAGACAGAAACATCAGTGATGAGAGAATCATTGATCGGCTGCAGCCCACAACCCAGGCATGTGCCCTGACCGGGAATCGAACCCTGATCGCCTGGATCCTAGGTCAACGCTTAACCACTGAGCCACGCCCGGCCAGGCTGTGGCATCTTTTCTTAAAAAACACACACAAAAAACATAAAGCGAATAGACAAAAATATTAATGTGTTAAATTTGGGTAATGACATAATTCTTTTGTTTGTTTGTTAGAAGTATTTTATAACTTAATACATTTTTAGAATAGTATAGCGAGAATAAA